CCCCCAAAAGCCTGGTTAAGTCCTGGGCAGAAAATTAACATGATAAATGGAATTCAGTTTCAGTTTTTTTTACATTGAAGCAAAAACTATTCTCCAACTTGTTGATGCAGTGATATTCTGCTTTGTTAGCTAGAGTTTAGCCTTAATTAAACTGTAAGCATATATGAAAAATACTGATAATTGAGGCTTTAAATATATTTATCAATCATGCTTATTTAGATTAGATTTCTTTTTTTTTAAAAAATATTTATTTATTTATTTAGTGTGTGTGGCCAGCTCAGCCCACCAGGGGGCGGGCTGGCTGGCATGTGGTGCTGGGGGATTGAACTGCATTCCCTGTGCTTTGTTTAGCTTAGTTTGTTCTAAGTAGGTGCCTTAGACCACTGAGCCATCTCACCAGCCCCTAGATTAGATTTCTAAAAGAAAATTTTAGCTTGACCTTACTAAAATTTTTCTTAGGTTTTAAACCTGTAGGGAACATTTAGTAACGCCTTTTAAAATTTTTTGAGAGATTCTAAGTTGCTGATCCTGAGCTTTAACTTGTTATCCTCTTGCTTCATCAGGATTTATAATGTCAGGATTTATAATGAAAAATATCTAGGGCTGGCCAGATAGCCTAGTGGATTAAAGTACCTGCTTAGGCAGATACAGGGACTGGGGTTCAATTCCCTAGCATGTTGTGCCAGCCCTGCCCCTGGGGTGCACTGAGATGGCTATTGAGACTGGGCGTGATGGCGCATGCCTGTAATCCCATCTCTTGGGAGGCTGAAAATGGGAGGATCACTACAAGTCCGATCTGTGTAGTGAGACCCTGTAGACCCTGTACTAAATACATAAAAAAGAAAAAAATCTCAGAACTTTGTTAAAGGTTATAATAAAAACTGATTAAATGCATACAGACTCAGTTTATGCCTGAAGCAACCTTTTCTTTTTATTATTTTTATAATTTAGCCAGTAGTAATGATGAATGATTAGGACATGTTAAGCATCTTTTTGATAATCAGGACTTAATTACTTTTGGGGGGGGAGTATTGTTTTAGGGTATATTCTTAAGTTTCAAAGAATGTATTAGGTAGCAATAATTCTAGATCCTAGACATGGATAGCTGTCAGATTTCACTTAAATCTCTACAGTGTGAAGCAAAATAAAAGCTATGTATTCATTTTCAATTTTGTGTGAGTATTTGGTTTTCTCAACCAAAGGTTTTATCTGGCATTTAGTTTTTGCCTACTTCATTTTATGTAGATGATATTTCTAGGCTTATGAAGATATTGATAAAGACTTCTTTAGGACTATTTCTAGAAGCTACTGGAATATATTGCAGCTTCAAATTTCATTCAGTCAAAATGATAAAATATGTCTGATTCTACTACCTCTAAGTATTTTTTGCTGATAAAATAATGTAATTTCAAATATAATTGATTTTTAGATGTTGTCAGATTACTTTTAAGACTTTTTTCTGGAAATAGAAACTTGCAAAGTTTTAAAATATGTTTTTAATTTTCTGCATAGCTCCACCAAGTATGTTGGTGAAGGATGAATATGTTCATGACTTTGAGGGACAGCCATCATTATCAACTGAAGGACATTCAATTCAAACCATCCAACACCCACCAAGTAATCGTGCATCAACAGAGACCTACAGCACCCCAGCTCTGTTGGCCCCATCTGAGTCTAATGCTACGAGCACCACCAACTTTCCCAACATTCCTGTGGCTTCTACAAGTGAGTTATGTACTCCAATAGCATCAGTAAATTTACTTTTCCCAGTCAGTGAATATTTATGGGTAGTCACTTGGTAGAAAATGCCAAGTAAGTAAAAAATAAAAGTACTGTGTTATTTTTCATAGGTAAGTAAATTTGCTTCTCCTCTCTTTGTCTCCCCTTCCCTCCCTTCTTTTTCCACATGTGTGCATGCATGCATGCGTGTGTGTGTGTGTGCGCGTGCGTGTGTGTGTGTGGTGGGGGGGAGAGTTCCTGGTGCTTGGCAGGCAAGTGCTTTATCACTGAGCCGCATGCCTCAGCCTCTGGGGTAGTAATAGCAAGGCTTTTAGAGCTTTCAGCAGTTCGCTGTAGCACACATGCTGTAGATTCAATACCCACTGCTCTAGAGGTTTCAGAAAAGCATTAAATAGGTGTTGGAGTTGGTCATGGAGAAAATAGTGTTTGTACTTTATTTAAAGGTTCTTATATTGATATATAATAATTTGGACTTTAATGACTTTGATTATAATATTGGTTTAGTGGTCTAATTTATGCTATATTTACTAGTGCGTGAAGAAGAAAGAACCTTAAGTTTTCCGGATAGATTTTAGAGAAATATTTAGATAATGAATAAGTAGTCTTAAATGAGGTTTATAAGGCTTGGTATTAATGACATTTCAGTCTTTACTCCATTGTTCTCATTTTGCTTTATCTTAGAGAATATTACTGTGTAATAGTCATCTCAGTGTCTTCACTTTGTGAAAATTTAGAAATAATCTTGTTTATTACATGATCCCCCAAATTAAATATTTTAATTTAAAACAAAAGCTTATATTTTTCTCTCAATTTTTAACCTTTAACCTTTTTCTTTTTTAAATGAAAAGTCTATTTGAAAAGAGTTCTTCCCATTCTATAAGGTTAACAGGGAGCTCTTAGATTCAGATTTTTTTTTTAAAGTTTTTAATTTTTTTAATGTATCTGATATGCAGCTTGGACTTGTAGTGATCGTCCTGTTTTCAGCTTTCCTAGTGCTGGGATTACAGGTGTGCGCAACCACTTTCATTCTCGGTAGCCAGCTCAGTGCACCTGGGGATAGGGATGATCCTGGGCTGGCACAACTTGACATGTGATACTGGGGGTTGAATCCTGGTCCCTGTGCTTGCCTAAGCAGGCACTTAGTCTGCTGAGCTATCTCACTGGCCCTGAACCCAGGGCTTTTGTATGGCTAAGTTGCTAGGTAAGTTTGCTACCACCTAATTATATTCTTGGCCCATGTTCAGGTTTTCTTGGGGCTTAAGACAGTATCAACTATTTCTCTTTGTATTGCTATTTATTTTCAGTCACCAACAGTTAAACAATTTGGTGTTTGGCAGGTAGTGTTTTATTTAAATGAATCATATTGCATTTTGTTTTGATGTTTATGACATTATTTGTACTTGATTGATAAAAATATATTTGAGCCTACGTCAGCCATAGATTAGTAATCTGTACTGATTCTTTGTTAGTTGATGTCAAAGGAACCATTATTCTATTTTATTTTAATGTCAGGTCAGTTTCAACATTAGCTTATTTATTTATTTATTTATTTATTTATTTATTTATTTATTTGGGTGGAACCGGGAATTGAACTGAGACCCTTGCACTTGCCAGGGAAGTACTTATTCCACTGAGCCATCTCCCTGGCCCCAAACAGTAGCGGAAACATTTTGATTTTTGAAATAAGTGGGAGATTGATTTTTTAAGTTTTCAACTTAAGCATATCATAACTTCACTTTCTGATATCTTTTGACTTGGCACATAAAAATGACAGTGTTACTTTGCATGGCTTATTTTCAAGTGGCTCATACAGATTTACTTCAGAATCCTTAATCATGGTGCTTTTGTTACCTGTGTTTTATAATCTGTGTTTACATTTTGAGAATATAGTTGACTAACAGAATAAGTACTGATGGAGTCTAAAAAAGACATAACAGCTATTTGAGCGTAGATTAGTGCTAGGATGCAGCCTAGCCTCTGTTTGTTATCTGGAGATTGAATTTTTGTGTTTTTGTTAGTGCTTACTAAAGTGATTTTGTTTTGACTTTTGTTTTCATGGGTGGGCTAAATCCTATTTGAAGATCAGTAGTAGTCTGAAAGAAATGTATTTAATTTTTTCTTGTTTACAGGGTCCATTTCTATAATTGAATAGTAAATACTGTACATTTTAGAACTAGTGGTAAAATGCTCCTTTAGTTTTAAAAAAATATGATTAAAAGAAAAAAATTAGGGTGAGATAGAGAAGTTGGAAGGTTATTTTACATGAGGTGATTTCATGTTACTAACTTTATCTTGGAATTATGTCATAGAAATGTTCAGTACAGTTAATTGCAATGGATCACTTCATAAGGTACTCTGATTTTGATACCTGAATGTCTTTAGAGGTCCTTTCTAAAAATTGTATCTATAAATGCAAATCATTTAATTTCTAATGTGCAGTGACAGTAGAAATTAGTTAAGTATAAGTTAGTTAAGTATATGTAGAATGTACAGGTGTTAAAAGTGAGCAAAAATGTAGTTGACCTTTAAAGATAATTTGTAGAATTTTTTTTGAATGAGTAGGAAAAGAAACTGCTAAAAACGTCATCTTAAAAATAATTTGGGGAATGAAGAACTAGTCTCTAGCATTTTACAATTCTTAGTTTTAAATAATATACAGAGGAGAAAAATGTTCAGTTACCTCTGATACTTTGAAGAATAGTGAAATTTACTTGTCCATCTTATTATACTCCTAATTATGTAAGAAAATGTGTTGCTAGTGACAACAATTATGGTATTTTAGTGCTTTCTAAATGGGATAAACACCTGACTTAAAGAAACGTTTTTCTAGTTAAAAAGAGCTTGAAAAATGCCAGACAATAAGAAATATAGAATTTTTTTTTGAGTAGGGCTTAAGCTGGAGGAAGCTTTGTCTTCTTGATCCATTACATAAAGAGATGGCAGCTAATTTTACATAAATCTGGGAATATGATATTTTTGAAAAGACATCATTCTAGGTTTTTATATATGCATGAAAAAATTTGAAGATAGATTGATAGCATGTTGATTGCACAGTGGAGATAAATCTTTTAACTTCCTCATTTTCCCCATTATATCCTACTTAATATTGTCTCCTTTGCTTTTATCAAACCCTGGCATTTTGCTGTTACCATTACCAGTGCTGATAATAATTAACGTTTCAGTTTTCAGCTTTTTTTTTTCTTCAGCCTGAGTTTCTGAGGCATCCTAGTCAGAAAAGTCCAGAAAGCTGCATAAAGTTTCTAGGGGAGAACTGATTTGTTTCTTGAGTTTGTTATGATTGGCTAGATGTGTAGTGGAATTTTGCTGGCATTTGAAGAAAATATTTGTGAAAAGAAAAGGCCACCAAGGGCCAGGGAACATAGCTCAGTGGCATAAGCACTTGCCTGGAAAGAAGAAGGTCCTGAGTTCAGTCGTTGGTGTCTGCCCCCCACCCCCTGCTCCCAAAAGACCACCAAAACTAGACAGGCTTAATTTTAAGTTAAGCGTTGGCCTATATATGACACTACTTTTTGATGAGCAGTAGGTGAATTCCACTTTTGGTGCATCTGTGTAGTTGTGAATTATCAGATATAATTGGTCCCTCACACATTGTAAGAAACGATAGGATTACATCTACAATATACCATGTTAATGTCTTCTTGTTTCTCTAGGTCAGCCTGCCAGTATTCTAGCAGGCAGCCATAGTGAAGGACTGTTGCAAATAGCTTCAGGGCCTCAGCCAGGACAGCAGCAGAATGGATTTACTGGTCAGCCAGCTACTTACCATCATAGTATGTACATGCTTTTTAAAATCTTTTACATAGTTGAGAAAAATAGGCAGCCTTTATAAAAGCAAATTAATCCATGTGGGCCTTAATTTTTAGACAGCACTACCACCTGGACTGGAAGTAGGACTGCACCATACACACCTAATTTGCCTCACCACCAAAACGGCCATCTTCAGCACCACCCGCCTATGCCGCCCCATCCCGGACATTACTGTAAGCTCTTGTTTTTGTTGTAAGGTATTTTTCTTTTGTAGAACTTTTTTTTTTTCTATTTTTATTCATCCTACAGTTCAGTTTCATTAAATGATTTGTGCTTTTCATTATTTTTTTCAGTATTCTTGGTAAACATTACTTTGTAATTATACCTTTATTTTAGAGTGATATTTACTAAATACATTTACTTCTCTGTTGCTAATGTTTCATAAACACCACATTGATTTCCATCCATTTGTTTGTTTTTGTATATGTTCTTAGATCTCATATGTAACTTGTATACCCACCCATAGCAGATTAAAAACCATTGACTGCTGTGATCTCAAGATTTCCCTCACCATAATATTTAGTGCCATAGATACTTAGATTTTGACTCTTAACTATACTCTGCAGGCATGATTAAAAGGGCTACCCTACACATAGTTTGTAGTTTCAGGAAGAATAGGAACATTATTCATTTGGCCTTTAAGATCAGGAGTATAAATTGCCCATATATGTCCAAATCCTCTCATTTGAATATTAATAGTACCAAAGACAACATGGGGAATACCGAAAAGCATAAATAATAGTACCTGAAATCCTAATACCCAAAGATACTCATTTTTAATATTTTGTTATTTTTCTTCTAGCTATGTAAATGGTTATGTACAAATGGGGGGCAGCATGCTACCTGTATACTGTATATGTATAGCCTTGTAAGTTTAGTGTAATAATTTATGATTTTTTTAGCAGTGTCCTAACACATAAAAATCTTTTAATTATTTTAGCTACTGTTCCTTTGTATAAATATCCTTAATTTAATAAACATAAGCATGTTTATAGAATAGTCCTAACAGTTTAAAGTATGTTTATAGATTATATTATAAATTATATTACATGTTAATTATAAATCATAATCTACATTAGATCCTGTATGTGAAATTATTTATAAATTGCTTAATAGCCCTTTGGAGGTAGTACTAAAATGTTAGCTATTAGTTATCCACAAAAGTCAAGAATATTTGCTTACTTCACTTACAATCTTAGTTTTTAAGTTCCTAGACCTTGCATAAGCTTGATCTAAATAAGTTGTAAGTATGACAGGTATATTTAAGGTTTGTTAAAAGTATAACATTGGAAAACTTTTAATAAATAAAAATACGATTTTTATTGTCTCTTTAGGGCCAGTTCACAATGAGCTTGCATTCCAGCCTCCCATTTCCAATCATCCTGGTAAGTGTATCTTAGAATTGAGTCACTGTATTTAGATTTCATTATGGTAATTGGAACACACATGCAGTTTTTAATGCAGTTGCAGGGCAGCAAATACAGTACTTAATTATTATGATGTGAGCTAATCAATAGAAGAGTTGGTGATATAGCCAAGTGCACAACTATAATTCCAGCACTCTGGCAAGTAGGAGGGTTGTAAATTGAACCCAAGACTGGGCAACTTATTGACTTAGTGAGACCCTTTCTCTCTCAAAAAAGACAACAAATTTTCAAGTCTAGGTATGTACCTCAGTGCAGGTGCTAGCACCCTTGGTTAAACCCTCAGGGCTATCCCCCCAAATTACATACACACACACACACACACACACACACGGTACCCTTGCTTAAACCCTAAAGACTGCCTCCCCAAAATTACATATACGCACGATCATACACAAGCAATATTTGATTCCTTTTAATTGTCTCTGAAAGATGATGTTTTTAAACAAATATAAACTGTGTAAGTGTTGGTTTCAGCTGAGTAGAGCTAGGTTTCAAAATTAACAGCTGCAAAAATATAAATTAAGAAGCCAGGGAATCTTAAACAGATGTTGAAAAGAAAATTCACTGTATCTTAGAAGAAAGATGCAGGAATCTTTGTTAACTGGAATTAAAAAAAAATTGTGTTAAAAACAATAGAGCAATTTCAAAACAAGATACTAGAGTAACAGTAGCTAGTATATTACATATTATTATCTTTAGTTATTAGATGTTGGCATTTAATTGTCCAAACATTATTAGCACAGACTTTTCAATGAACTAAGAGAAATCAGTATATTACTAATTTGGTTAACTGCAATTCATAAACTATTTGATTAAATTAGGTTCAGAAAAAAATAAGTAGCCAAGTTTTTTTCTTCAATTAAAAGATTATGTACAACTTATAAAAATCATAGAGGTAATAAAACAACAGTTTTAAAAAGAAAAAAAGAGATCTTCTGGGACAGGTGAGGTAGCTCAGTGGACTAAGCACCTGCTTAGGTAAGTGCAGAGACCCAGGTTTGATCCCTGGCACCACATGTCTTCCTTTCCCCACCCCCGGGCGGACTGAGCTGGCCATGGAGACCAGGTGTGGTGGTGCATGCCTATAATCTGAACTTCGGGGAGGCTGAAAACAGGAGGATTGCTACAAGTCCAAGCTGTGTAGTGAGACTCTACCAAATAATTAAAAAAAAAAAAAAAAAAAGATCTTCTGTGACACTTAAGATTTTGAGTTTTTTTCCTCTATTATTACATACTGGTTTTCTTTGCTTAAAAAGATGCAAATGTTATTCCTTAGTCTCTGCAGGGAGTGATTCCAGGATGCCTCCTCATATACCGAGATCTGCATGTACTCAAGTTCCTTATGTAAATTGCATGATATTTGCATATAACCTACCTGTCAGGATTTAAAGTGTATGGGAAGATGTGCATAAGTTATATGCATTTTATATAAAGGCCTTGAGCATCAATAGATTTTGGTATCTAGAGAGGTCCTGGAACCCAGCCACTGGGCTTACTGATGGACAACTTTACGTATTCTTTTTTTTTTTTTTTTGCGGCACCGGGGATTGAACTCATACTCAACTGAGCCATCTCCCTGGCCCTCAACTTTATATGTTTCTAGTAAAGATTTTTAAAAGAAATACAGCCACAGTGACCATAATGACTAATTTACAGCCTACCTTACAGTTCCAGGTAATCCTACATAACTTTATATGGTGTTGCTATTGATTATATTGATTCCAATTTTTTTCTGTTTAAAAATAACTGAAGGGAAGATCTTTGTGCTTTTCACTTTTCTCCTATTTCAGTTGAAGAGATTGATGAAATCTCTGGATTTCATCAAAACTAAATTGCTTTACAGTGACAACATCAAGACTATGAGAGCCAGTTCTGTGATGTTCACTAGCAGTAGATGTAATTGTTTAAGTTTTTGCTGATTCAGGGCACAAATGTTTGTTTTGGTTAGTAGGAAAGTATTTAGTGGGATAGACTTTTATTTTAAACTATACATATTTACTAGTTCATAATATCCTCTGTAATAATTTTTTGCAGAGGATAATGTACGTTACATACTTTTTTAACTTACTTAAAACTTTAACATAAAACATTTTTTTGGAGATTCAGGGTTTTTTTCGTGAATATTTTTTTAACAAGAAATGTAAAGTATAGAATAGTACATAATACAAGTATGAAATCTAATTTGTGGTGCTTAAGCCTGAAGTAAGGAACAACATTATAGTATTTTAGAAATTTTTGTATTCCTCTTAATCAAAACTTTCCCTCTTTCTTTCCCCAGAAGTAACCAGTATTCTGCTCTCTATGGATAATATACTTTTTTTTTTGTGGAACCAGGGATTGAACTCAGTCCCTTGCACTTGCCAGGGAAGTGCTTATGCCACTGAACCATCTCCCCGACCCAGATAATACACTTTTAAAAGAGATGAATATGTCTTTAAACATTATAGTTTAGTACTTTGGATTTACTTCTTTTAAAAATTATATAAATGGGCGATGGTGATGTAGTTCAGTGGCACAAACACCTGCCTGATAGACATAAGGTTCTGAGTTTTATTCCTAGAGCCAAAATAAATATTTTTTAAAGGAAATTATATGATGAAATCATTCTTAAATTTTTTTAAAGAAGGCAAAATAGTAATAAAAAAACAGCATTAGAAAAGATACAAAATTTTACTAAACAATAGGAATTCAACAATGGTTGCTATATTGAATGACATTGTCTTCAAATTAGTTGCTTAAGTTACCAGGTACAAATGTGCAAAATTGGTTTAAAAAAACACACATACACGCAAGGGCCTGAGTTCAATCCCTGGCTCTGCAAAAAAAACAAAAACAAAAACACAACAACAAAAAAATCCATACAAAAAAAAACAACAAAAAAAGTAGAAAAAAAAAAAAAAAAAAAAAAAAAAAAAAATTACAGTAAAAAAATTTTAAGCATTAACTGCTCTTTGCAAAAGACTGCTCTTTTGAGAAATCAGCAGTACAATTATCCAAATTATCCTGCATGTATACATAAATATATCTTTTTTTCTTCTTTTGTCTTTTTTCTCCTCCCTGGTTTTCCTTCCCATTGAACAAAATCTTTCCCTTTCATAGTATCCATTGAACTTTCAGATTTTATTTACCCTGTCAGGTTTTTACATTAGCAAGATGACACAATGTTTGCACATATGGGGTCTGATTTATTTCACTTCAAAAAATACAGTCTCTAGTTGCATCAGTTTTCTACAGAAGCCTCAAATTTAACTTTTTATAGCTGAGTAATACCCCATTGTGTGAAAATATCATGTCTTTTTTTATCCATTTCTCAGTTGATGGGCATTTGGGTTGTTTCTAAGATTTAGCTGTGACAAATTGTGCCCCTATAAACTTGGGTACACATATATTGCTGTGGTATGATTTCAGTTCTTTTGGAAAAATACCTAGGAGTGGAATAGCTAGCTTGAATGGGACCTTCAATCCTAGCTTTTTGAAGAATCTCCGTACTGATTTCCATAATTGTTGTACCAGCCTGCACTCCCACTAACAGTGGGGAAGGATTCCTTTCTCCCCACAGCCCCTCCAGCATTTGTTATTGGTTAATTTCTCAGTAGCCATTCTTTCTGTATCTCAGCATTGTTGTTTTTTTTTTCCCCAGCATTGTTTTAATTTGCATATCTTGAATGATTAATGATGTTGAATTTTTTATGTTTGCCATTTGTATCTATTTGTGATGTGTATGTTCTCTCACATGCCCGTTTTTAAATTGGGTCTTTGAATTTTGGAAGCCTGATTTTTAAAAATTCTTTATATGTTCTAGATAGGAGTCCTTTGTCTGAAGGACAGTCTGCTATAATTTTTTCCCGATTTTTAGGTTTTCTTTTTGTACTCTGTTGGTGATTTTTTTTTTTTATTTCAGAAAAGAATTGTGCTCTGATTTCCTCTATATCTTTCTGCTGTTGCTTATTTACTATCAACGCTATTAATTCATGCATTTGAGCCGAGCTAGTGTCCTCCGCACTTGTTCTGGATGGGCACTGGGTTTCCTCCATATGTTTCTGCATTTGATTCTTTAGTGCAGATGTTAATTAATTCAGGGATTTCTTTTTTTATTTCCAATCTGAGGTCCTCTATACCTTTCTGCAGCTGTTTCTTTATTTCAGAAACCGTTGATTCATTGCTTTCAGCTGTGTGATTTCCAATTTGTTCTGTGTTAGTGTCCTCTGCACTTGTTATAGGTGGGCTTGGGTTCTGAGGTTGCATTTTGTTCCTTCTCGTCATTTTGTGTAGCACTGTCTTCTGACCTTTGTTGTAGATCTTTGTTGTAGTTATAACCTTCGCACGTACTGAAGTTCAGGGGCAGCTCTACAAAGTTTGGACTTATCCAGCTGTGCCTGGCTTGGGTCTGGCTGCTGTGCTCAGCTCCTTCCCGCTGCTGCTCTTGAGGGTGAACCTGTTGTGCCCCTGTGGCAAGATGTTCTGCTCCTGGACTAGCTGGGTGGATCTATCCTCTACACTCTCTGCAGGGATTGCAGCTGCAGGGTTATACCCCAGGCATGCATGCCAGGCCTGACCTGTGCCTGGAGGGGGCAAGGTGGAGTAGGGGGCAGTGGAAGCTCTCCCTCACACTCACTGGGTCTGGACTAGGACTGGTACTGGGGGTTCCCGGAATGCGGCAGAAGTTCCTACTCGACGGGTGGGGTGGGGGAGCTGCTGCGGAGTGGTGGGGGGCGTTCCAAAGGGGTGGGAGAGGGTCTGGCCCATGCTGCGCCTGGGCTGGGACTGGTCCCTCAGGCGCAGGGTAGCAGGAAGCTCTCCCACACACTCATTGGACCTGGGCTAGGACTGGGTCTCTGGGGATTTCTTTTGATGTGCAGAAACTTTTCAGAAAGATAAGATCCCAACTGTTGATGCTTTGAAATATTTCCTGTGCAGTTTGATTTTTGTTCATGAACTCTTTACTTATCTTTGTGTCC